CTAAATGAGGCAACCTATTCCACTGCAAACATTTTGATTATGACAATATGTGGAATCCCTAATTAGCCTTGGAAAAAGTTGAGGTGGAGTTGAAATACTATTACTCTGTATCGTGCAATAAAAATATAATTCACTTGTACGAATATAATGTTAGTTGTTTACAATTAGTCATCCTTCTTATATATATATATGTGTGTGTGTGTATACACATAATATATATATATCTGTGTGTGTGTGTGTGTGTGTGTGTGTGTGTGTGTATTTATGTATGTATGTATGTATCTTCAATCAAACAAAGAAAACAAAATCTATGCCTGTATATAAGCACAATTAACACCTTCATATCCTTATCTTTGAAATTAATAAACCATTAATAAAAGCTCCTCCCTTCCCAGTTTCCATCATCAGTAAAATGGGGATAAAATGGACCTATCTTCTCTTGTCCAAGTTTGATGACAAAGATGTTGAAGAATGCAGAGCTATGGCAGAAAACTACTTTAAACAAAACGACTTTGATACAGCAATCATAGCCATTGGAGTTGCTAATTATAAAACTAAACAAATTGGTGCTACCATTAACTTCAACTACCACAACTATGGCTTTGCCTACCTTACACATAAGATGGAATTAGCCATTAATAACAATTTTTATCAACTATTGAATGTGAAAAAAGGTGCAAGTACGGATGATATCAAGATGAAGTACGAGTAAAGGATACTGAAGCTTCACCCAAATAAATGCTCTTCTATTGCAGTCGACGTATTTGGATTATAGTCTATCAACTTCTATATTTGTTCGCTCATTGATCTATAGATGAGCTACTTGGGAGGCTAGTCTAAAATAGGAAGGGTAAAGTTGAAAAGTAGAGGAATATTTGTTTATGCATGTGTTAGGAGTAGGTTTTGTGAGGACATATGGCTTAATGAGATTGGAAGGGCGAAGAATTCGGTTATGAGAAAAAAGTGTCAGGGTATAAAAGTGGAGGATAGAGGGAATTGGGGGATATTTAGAAAGAAGGTTAAAGTTTTGGAAGGGGAGGTGACTGACCCTCGAAGTTCAATCTTTATCTTTGTTTTTGCTGTACTTAGAATTGTTCCATTCTGCTGTTAGGTTGCTGGGTAAATGATAGATTATGATTCTCTAAATGTAGTGTTATGTTCTTAATATCAATATAGAGTCTATTTCTTTTTCATTCGTGTGCTTGTTGATTGTTTTAACTGGTATTGGATAGAGTAGTTTGTGTGTTGCTTGGTGGTTTAACAGGTCGGTAATCTATCAAGTGTTATCAGAGCATTGATTTCTGGGTAATGGTTGTGACGAGAATGGATTCTAGAATGGATAATGTTGAGAAAGAATTTACCGAGTTTGGGGTTGAAATGGACACTATTCGAGAATGTTTGGTAAAGATACAATCCTAGGTGCAAAGAAAGGACGAAGAAGAAGCTGGCAGAATGGAAATGCATTCATCAGGAAATATTCACTCTCACGAAGTGGAAAATCCTAATGGTGCTGGTGGGTCTAGTGACAATGGCGAGAATCAGAGTGAAGTTGGAGGACAAAAACTAGAAATGTCAATATTCTCTGATGAGGACCCTTACGGATGATTTTTAGAGTGAAGTGTTATTTCAACCTTAACGGAGTATCTGAGGAAGGGAAACTAACAGCGGTGGCAATTTGTATAGAAGGTGAGGACATCAACTAGTTCCAGTGGACTGAATCTAGAGCTTCTGTGAGTTTGTGGGCCATGTTTAAACTGGTGCTCCTCCAGAGGTTTAATGGGTCACAAGAGCATAACCCTTATGAATCTTTGATGGCGATGAGACAGACTAGTTCAGTGGTTGATTTTCGTTGGCAATTTTAAGCAGTGGCTGCACTTTTGGTAGAGGAGAAAGAAGAGATACTATAGCTGCATTTTTAAATGGGCTTAAAATAGACATCAGGGTTGAGATTCGTTTGGCACAACCCAACTCTTTAATTCAGTTAATTGAAATGGCTCAAAGAATAGAGGAGAGGAATTAAGCCTTAGAAGAAGCCTGAGTAGGAGCTACTAAGTTTAATCGCATGAATGGACCTAGGCTTTCATATGGATTAAACACCAATGGATCAAGAAATTTTACCCAACCCAATGACAACTCAAAGTTCCCAAATTTGCCAGAATCCCTAAAATCAAGCTTGTTTGCAACTATAATCGAAGAACACCAAAACCATCGATACAGAGTTCATCGCCTAATTACCTTCATCGCAACCATCCACCTTCTTCTTTTCGATCTTTTGAGCGACCATCCTTCCAAAGGAGAGAGTTTCAGTTTAGAAAGATGACAGACGTAGAAATCCAAAAAAAAAAAAAAAAAAAAAAAGGGGCCTTTGTTTTAGATGCGATGGTAAGTTCTTACCTGGCACAAATGTGGTGAAAAATAGTTTCAAATTATCTTAATTGATGAAGAGGAAGACAAACCAGAATCGATTGGTGGTGGAGAAGTAGAGGAACCTAAAGTCAAGCAGCAATAGGGTGAAGTCAAGTGGCAACAGTGTAATGTTGAACTTTCTCTCAATTCGGTGGTAGGGATCGACAGTCCGAAGACAATGAAGCTTAAAGGGAGAATCAAAAGTATTGATTGATAGTGGGGCTTCCCACAAATTAATTAGTTCTAAGGCAGTTAAAAGATTAGGGATACCGATAGTGGGAACTCAATCTTTTGGGGTTAAAGGGGGTGATAGGTATAGTGTGAGGTGTGAAGGGGAGTGTAGAGATGTTTGTATGGAGTTACAAGGTGTCACCATCATTCAAAACTTCTTTCTATTTGACATGAGTAATGATGATGCTATTTTGGGAATTGTGTGGTTGGAGACTCTAGGTGAGACAGTTACTGATTAGAGAAAGCAAACAATGAGGTTTAAATTGGGAGATCAGACAGTTGTGTGGGGATCCATCACTTAACAAAATGATGGTATCTCTCAAGGCCATGATTAAGGCATTGCAATGTGAGGGGCAGGGTTGTTTGATAGAGTTTGGACAGATTTAGAAACAGTATGATGAAAATGGGGAGGTAGATGATCGACTGCTGGATGCTTTGGAGAACTTTAGTCAAGTTTTTAACCCACTTCCAAGACTACCACCTACCAGATCGAGAGACCACACCATTCAATTAGTTTTAGGAACTCAACCACCAAACCTTAGACCTTATAGGTACCCTTACTATCAGAAAAATGAGATAGAGCACATTGTCAAGGAGATGTTGGCCTTGGGGATTATAAAGCCGAGCATAAGTCCATTCTCAAGTCCTGTTTTACTGGTAAATAAGAAGGTGGAGATTCTGTGTGGATTATAGGGCAGTTAACAAGGCGACAATACAGCTATCGACGAGCTATTTATTGAGTTAAAAAGGGCGACGATGTTCTCCAAGCTTGATTTGAAATTAGGCTATCATCAAACTAGAGTCAAACCAAAGGACACACACAAAACAACTTTCCAAACCCATAAAGGGCATTATGAATTTTTGGGCATACCATCAACCTTTCAAGCATTAATGAATAAGGTCTTCAAGCCATATTTGAGGAAGTTTTTGTTAGTTTTCTTTGACGACATACTGATTTACAGTAAGGAGATGGGTGAGCATGCAAGGCATCTAAGTATTACTTTAAAGACACTGATGGACAATCAATTGGTGGTCAACAGGAAGAAATGCATTTTTAGGCAGCAACAGTTAGAATATTTGGGGCATATAATCTCAGCAAAAGGAGTGGCAGTCGACCCCTCAAAGATAGAGAGCATTACTAAATGGCCAGAACGAGAGGATATTATCAACGATTTGTTTGGGATTATGGTAACATAACGCTCCCACTCACTGCCCTATTAAAGAAATATTCGTTTGTGTGGAATACAGCAGCTCAAGGTGTTTTTGAAGAATTAAAAAGACTCATGACACGTGTTCCAATCCTCAGAATGTCTAATTTCACAAAGGAATTTATCATAGAGACTGATGCATTGAGGAGTGGTTTAAGGGCTGTATTGATGTAGGAGGGGCGACCTATTGCCTTTCTCAACAAGGGTTTGTCTCTAAATCCCAAACTTAAGTCAGTTTACGAGTGAGAATTAATGGCCATAGTTATGGCAGTGCAAAAATGGCACCATTATCTATTGGGAAGACGTTTTGTTATCAAGACCGATCACAGAAGTCTCCACTTCTTAACTGACCAAAAATTGTTGAGTGAGAATCAGCAAAAATGGATTATCAAGTTATTGGGGCTAGACTTTATAATTCAGTACAAAACTGGGCTACAGAATAAAGTGGTAGATTCTTTTTTTAGAGTGCCAAAAGTTGTAGAAAACCATGCTTTCTCTATGAGCTGCTTCTCGGGTATAACAGATTTAGAAGATGCCATTCATTAGGATGATAAGTTATGCGAGATCATGCAATGGCTTTTGGTCAACCCAAACAGCCATCCTTATTTCAGATTGGTGGGACAACATCTAGTGTATCATGATAGGTTGGTGGTGCCTAAATCTGGACCTCATATCTAGAAAATATTACATAAGTTCCATTCCTTGCCCATTGGGGGCCATTCGTGTTTCTTTCGGACATATAAATGCATCACGAATGTAGTGTATTGGGAGGGGATGAAGAAAGATATTAAGGATTTTCTGGAAGCCTACACTATTTGCCAACAGAACAAATACAGAACCTTGAGTCCACGAGGTCTGCTACAGCCACTGCCTATTCCTAAACAAGTGTGAGAAGATGTCTCAATAGACTTTATTATGGGGCTTCTAAAGGCTCATGGGGTAGACACCGTTCTTGTAGTTGTCGATCGACTAACAAAATATAGCCATTTTCTAACTCTCAAGCATCCTTACACAGCTAAAAGGGTAGTTGATCTGTTTATCAAAAAGATAGTGTGGCTGCATGGGTTTCCACGCACCATTGTTTCAGTTCGTGATAGAGTTTTCATGAGCAACTTTTGGGGAGAATTATTTAAACAGTCAGGAACTTAACTAAACATGAGCTCAGCTTACCATCCACAAACGGACGGTCAAACTAAGGTGGTAAACCGATGTTTGGAGACATACCTCAAGTGCTTTGTCAATAGCCAACCCCAACAGTGGCCGAGATGGGTTCCATGGGCAGAATTTTGGTTCGACATGACTTATAGTAGCTCCACAGGTATGTGTCTATTTAAAGCTTTGTATGGTGGCGACTCTCCAACAGTGTTGAGATATACTGACCACACTTCCTCAATTGATGAAGTCGACCAACAACTCTGGAGTCGTAATCGAGGAGTTAAAAGAGAATATCCTCGAGGCTCAAAACCGAATGAAGACTTACGCTGATAACTGACGGCAAGAAGTTACTTTTGAGATAGGGGAATCAGTGTATTTGAAGTTGCAATCTATAGATTAAGATCTCTAGCTCATCGTTATAATGAGAAACTTAGTCCGAGGTTTTACGGTCCATTTGTGATTAAGGACATAATTGGGACAGTAGCATACAGGCTGGCATTACCTCCCTTAGCTTGTATTCATGACGTTTTCCATGTTTCACAATTGAAGAAGGCAACTTTCCCACTCCTTAATAGCCAACACCTATCGGAAGCCCTCAATGAAGATTTTATTTTGAAGGTTGAACCAGAAGTTGTACTCAAGAAAAGAAGGCTCTTGAATGGACAATGGGAGTTACTAATTCAATGGAAAGGATTACCTCCTTATGAGAACACTTGGGAGGATTTTGACACAATCAACTCCCAATTTCGTTCCTTCCACCTTGAGGACAAGGTGGTTCTCCTTGGGGAGGGAAATGATGAGCTACCTGGAAGGCTGGTCTACAATAAGAAGGGTAGAGGTGAGAAGTAGAGGAATATTTGTTTATGTGTGAGTGTTAGGAGTAGGTTTTGAGAGGACAGGTGACTTAATGAGATTGGAAGGGTGAAGAATTTGATTATGAGAAAAAGTTGTCAGGGAATAAAAGTGGAGGACAAACGGAATTGGGGGATATTCAGAAAGAAGGTCAAGGTTTTGGAAGGGGAGGTGACTGACCCTTGAAGTTCAGTCTTTTATCTTTGTTTTTGTTGTACTTAGAATTGTTCCATTCTGCTATTAGGTTGTTGGGTAGATGAGAGAACATGATTCTCTGAATGTAATGTTCTGTTCTTAATATCAATATAGAGTCTATTTCTTTTTCATTCCTGTGCTAGCTGATTGTTTTAACTGGTATTGGATAGAGTAGTTTATGTGTAGCTTGGTGCTTTAAGAGGTCGGTGTTCTATCACCTACATTCGATTATTGATTTGTTGTTGATGTAAGTTCAGCTAATGAACTCATCAGTTATATTAAGCTCTACAGTTTATGAACTCATTGTAATTGTAATTTTTTTATTCAGTCATTTATAATCTTCCATCCACTAAGCTATATTGTTGTTTACTTATAAAACTATATGCATTAAAAATCAAAAATTGAAACGTGCTTACAAAAGAAAGTGTTATCATTCTATTAGAATTAATTCTTTTCACAAGGCTAATCAAGCAAAATTCAGGCAAGTCTTTCAGGCATCAAAAGTTTTAAAATGCAATGACATTCGACTAACCTGTTTGTCTGTCAGATAAAGATAAGGGTACATAAAACATAAATTAGAAATACAAATTGATCATCACTACTATATCAAAACATCTGTTTAAGCATTTGAAGACAGGTGTGGTTCAGAATTTACTGCAGCATGGAAATTGAGATTCAATCGAGTCTTTCCGTAGTTATCCTTGAAAAATAATATATGGCCTCCTGTCATCTCACCTGTAAAGAGAAAGGGGGAGAGATTATCAAGTTCGTAACAATTCTTAAAGAACTCAAATATGGAAACTGAAAAACATGTGTAAAATAATGTTAAGTTCTATCTGATAAGTACATGGGTGAATCAAATATCATAAAATAACTTCAAGAATGATATGGTAATGAACGCAAACATAGAGAAAAGATTAAAAAAAAAAAAAAAACTCAACATGGACCCTCTAGTTTGGAATCATTTGGTAAAATCCAGAACCAACATAATAACTCCATATAATGAACACATCCAATACCATAGCATAGGCTCAAAGCTACTCTCAGTCAATTGATTAATAGCAACATTCTTTGGAAGCATGTTTGTTGAAATTAATGGAGAAGGTATTGAATCAAGTAAAACATATTGTAGAACATGAGTGCATGCTATTGGTTACTAAATTTATTAAAGTCTCGACTTCAACTACTTTAGATTGGCAAATAAATCATTTTTCACAATACGGCTCCAAAGAAGCATGTGTTTATACCAGAACAGCCAATTCTCTACTCATGCTTCTACCAAGATTTTTTTTTTTTTTTTTTGTCTTCCTCTTATCCCAACTTTGTATCAGTTACAGTTAGACACCTTCTCTTCAATGACTGACATTTCTTTAAACTTGATTCCGTACCCAAGAAGTTCAACCAGTCACAATAACCCACATATACAAGAACCTAGGCACTGTCCATCTAGAGTTTAGGATACACTTGCATTTTAACCCATTTGATCTCGCACCGCAAGTTCCTCAATTAAGCAGACGAGTGTCAAAAAACAATAATATGGTTTCTTTATTTTATGTTTATCCCTTCAGCCTGTTGCTGATAGGGCAATAATTTCTTATGCATCTGAAGTCAAGCATATGGTTGACTAATATACCTTGCCAACATTTAAGTCATAATAAAAACAGTACTTACCAATATTCATTTTTCTGTTCAACTAAGCAAAAGCCAATTGAAGTGAACAAGGTTAAACAATTCAATAAAAACATCACAAAAGGAAACGAACCTTAAACATCAGTGACATATCTCATAATGGTAACTGATCACTTTATTAGCATTCTAAAGCATATGTAGGGACCTACAACAAACGAAAAAGCCAACACATAAGCACCAAGTAACATAAAAACAAAGAAGTTGCTAAACCAAGTCTTAAAAATACAAAATTTAAAGCAGTTACACCTTTAACACAATTGATTTCACTCACAGGCCAGCACTCAAAAACATGTAGACCACAAAGGCGATTATCAGGTACATGCTTTCTATGTTTTCAGCACATTCATAGAGTCAGGTATGTTAAATAACTCCATATCTGAACAACCAATTTCAGATCTGCGATGAAACTAAAAGGAAAATTCACCAACTACAGACCCAAATCGAAGAGGAGAAGAGAAAAAGAAGATAAGAACACACCCTCTTTCTCCATTTATATCTAGATGTCTGTGCACATATACAACTACTTTTTTGTATTTGCCAGAGACTTTGTGATTGCTCAGATAATTTTACGATGATAAAGGACTCTACATTCTGCTACTGCAGCCACTTCCCCAACAGGATCAGTCAGATATCTAGCCTCTCCCTGATTAAGAATATTTTCATGCTTGATTTTTTAATTTCCAGATGCTCATTTGTCTTTTGAGTCCGATTGATTATTTAAAAATATTAAAAGTAGCTGAGTGGCTCAACACTTAAGAAAATTACTATCTTGGTATCTACCATTTTAATCCTATGACTCGACACCAGACACAAATGTGTTCCTAATCAACAAACCAAAAAGATGAGATAAACATCTATAGAACATAAAAAATTCACATGGTACACTTATTTCACGCCATTGCTTCTGCACCAGATATATCCTAGAACATTCACCATAAAACTTATAAGTAACTGCTAAATATAAAAACAACTGTGTATTTCCTTTATTTATATGTGTAAAGGAAACAAGTCTCAATCTTACGAGATCCTAAAGTACGTTAAAACTATATTGCACAGAACTGTTATTGTTTCATTTTATCCTTTTCAGGGGTGTGGGGGCGGTCCAATCTTTCAAGTGATGACATTTTTTGCTCATTTACCACTTTCATTCTTCTTCATCTCTTTTCTTTTTCCCCCTTTTGAGAAGAATAAGTCAGAAGTTCAAATAAGAACCAGGAAACAACCCACATCATCAGTGTTAGCAAACAGATATCTCAGATTTGATATATACAGCTCAATGGTGTGAAAACCAGCGAACCATAATTCACAATAAATCTCCAAGAGAAGTAAACTACCAAACTATTAAATCCATTATCACACTGAAGGATAAAGTCAAACAACATGTAATGAACACAAGAAGAATTGCTTTGGCAAGAAAATAATTCTAAGAAATTAATAAGAAGCGTAATTTCATCAGAAGAATAAAGTGGAAAATATCAAATTATCAATAATACAGTGCATTCATCTACCTGAAGTGTGTTCTCATCAAAAAAGGAAGACACTGAGTGATTCATGCCATAAGAACCATCACACTGTAGAATCCTAAGCTTCCCTTCCTGCATTTTAAAGCAGATCAATAATAAAGTTAAATACAAAGCTGCAGGCTCCCAAAAGCAAAATCCAAAGCATGTTATATTTACCTTAGTTCCATAGACAAGGCCACCGCCAACTGAAGGATGAAAGCATGCTACATTAACCTCATCCTCAGCACTTGGTAGAACTCTCACAAGTTCCATATCAGAAACTCTATAGACCTTGGTGTCAACAACAAAGATTTAATCAAGATAGCATACATAGATAGAAAAGCAAACCAAAAAATAATAATAATAATTTCAAAATGATTTGGTCCTAAAGTTTCACAAGGAAATACAGTGGGGAAAATATTAGCATCAGATATGAATATACTTCCAGTGCACTGAGCAATATCACTTGTACTGCATTTAAAAATAAAAAATAAAAAGAACAACTTTTTTTATTTGTTTATTTTTTCAAAACAAAAAAATTCTTTCCTACCCTAATGTGAGCACCATTCGATCCCGAGACCTCTAATAAAATGCTAAAAGATACAACTTCTAAAGCATCTTCAGTAAGTATCATTACTCTCCATAATGATATATATCCTATCATATATAATTGGGAAAAGTTAAAAGTATAAAATCTTTTATTTCTTCTGATATATCCTAACTGCATCAAAAGTGAATATATTCTTTCCAAGGAGTGATCGGTTGGAATCAGGGATGAGATTAATAGGTTCCTCAATAAAGCAAAACCCATGGCGTTTAGTATAAGTTGTATTATTCAGTTTCAAAGGAATTTAATGACTTCTTTTTTCTTTATACATCCTAACTGGGAGGGTGTTTTGTGCTAATTTTGTATTGTTAGCTTATTTTGGCTCAGGAAGGGAAGATGATCTTTGACATATTTTTGTCAATGCTTGTATAGGGTTCCCCTTTTTTCTTATTTTTTTTTTTTTAATCTCTTTCTGGATTTCTAGCCCCTGATGTACTTATTTCAATCTCTTCTTTAATATGGCTAAACAGTTTCTTATCAAAAAAAAATTAAAAGTTGTACTATAGCCAATTCAAAAAATGTAAAATATGTGATGTGTAAAAAGTCAATAACAGCAAATGAGAGAGCTACCACCAAGACTTTGTTATTAGGAAACTATAACCACCCGATGCTGGGAGGAATAGAGCACATACACGTCAACACTATTTCAGCAAAATCTGTGAAAAATAGTTCTTTCTAGAAAATGTCTGAGATCTAAACTTGTTTAGCCATTTTTCTTCCTTTTTACTGTATTTTCTCCATTCTTTATAACTAATTTCTGATTAAACTTGGAATATAAGTGAAGATCCTTCACTTAGGAATCCATAAAGTCCCACCATCAAACAGTCACTAAAAATGAACTTTTTCAAGCTTATTAAAACTATGGACTCTGAATTGCATCTAAACAGCCTTGAAACCTTAGACACGAATTGAGTAGCGAGTTGAACTGCACCATTCAAATCTTTCTAACATAGAATCACAATCTAAAATCTAAAATCATTCTAAGATAATACAAATCATAATTTCTAGGAAGCAAGTTCCAAAAAGCAGATAGCCAGAAAGTAAGAAATATATAAGCTTATACCTCTAGAATTGTGTAAATGGGAATTGTTGCCTCTCCATCAATGACAACACTTTTAAGAAGTGAACTATGCCGACGACCGTATGCAAGCAATAAGTGCTCTGATGTGGGCGAGAACTGAAAGATTAAAATAATGTGTGATCAATAAACATATAGAGAAAAAAAAGTAGGGAATCATATTATCACTGTCTTACAAGTATCTCTAAAGGTCTAAAGTATCGACAGCCAATTGCCATAGTATCAGAAAAGAAATCAAAGTTGAACCAAACAAGATTAAAGCTAATTAATAAAAATAAAAAAATTACATATTTGAACTGTCTTGGGAATTATCATCACTGTTGACCCTATCAGCTTGCCATGTTGATGATGGGTTTTAGATTTTTCTTTACTAAAAAACAGAAACAATACTGCAGGCTCATAACTCACTCTTTGGCTAACCAGTAAGATGGTTCTGACACATTGAAATCCAAGGCTCACAAGCTTTCTCAATGCTTTTCTTTCACTTCATCTCTTTTCTTCCTTTCAAACAAACACATGTACGAAAGCAAATTTCCTTCCCCTCTTCTATGTTTCCCTTCCCTCCTACCCTTTCTTTCCTCTCTCTTTATCCTCCCTACCAACAAACTGAAAGCAAAGGTAGGCATGCTAAGAAGCAGCGATATAAACATGCCTATACAACAGTTCTTCAAAATTTTAGCATGTAAATTATTGAGCACATTAACTTTTTTTTTCCCTAACTGTTGAATACTTTGTAGCTGTATCCATTATAATTTTTGAATTCAAACTTGAAATTTGAACTTCCTATGGNAGGTATAATTGAAGTTATAAGAAATTAGAATATTTATTACAATAATTAGATGTTTAACCTAAATGATTAACTATTTAGTTATATGAAAATTGAGTTTAGTGTTATTTGGTTAAAAAATAAAATAGGGAAAGCATATGTCATGAAGACGTTATGATGGCATTGGGGTAGAGACGATGGTTTGAAAAAGCAATCTCTAATATCATATCATATCATAATTGTTTGTTGAAGAGCGTTCCACTTACCACCTTCCATCTTCCCCACCACACAAAATTCGCCGTATATATATATATATATATATCATCAACAAACTAATTAAACAACAACATAACCTACAATTAATGGCTATGGCTTCTTCAAGTCTTGTCCGTGTACCGGAAATGGAAGACGATGACGATCTTTTTGAGATCGATATCGAGGCTGTTAATGCCATCCCTCCACCCCATTACTGCGAGAGCTATTTTACTGCAACTACTAGTATACTTTTTGCCAATTGTTTATTGCCCATTTCTGATGTTTCCTGCGCAATTCCGATGCCAAACTTGCTCGCGATTGCAGATTCCGTGCCCGTCTTGCCACGAAATGTTATTGGGATTCCATTTATGGGGCTTTTGGAATTGAGCAGCTCAAGCCAATGAGTGCATAATTTGTTTTCAAAGGATTAGGACTTAATTGATCATATTATACGTTGGCTTTCCTATTCTTATTAATTACCTTCTTATTTCATTAGTAAACATGAAATATTCTTGTTTTAATTTGTTGTAATTGATCATCTTATAACGAGGGCTAGACCAAATTCATAGTGGTCTTGATAAGTTATTTTGAGATTAATTATGTTCCGTGTAACTTATCTAAATCCTCATCTATTACGGGAATGAGAAATTAATTTATCCTCAATTGTAATATCGATCTATTAGGAGTATGTGTCTCACTACTAGTGCTAAATCCACCTATGTTCATTGCCATTGCTCTTGACGGTTAAAGGTAGTTTGTGCCATCAAAGAATGGGCAACCTTACTATAATACCAATTGAATGATCGAAATAATCTAAGAGGTGGTGAATTAGAGGTGAGCGGTTTTGGGTACCTTACATTTTTTAGGCGAATCGGAATCGGAACCGAACCCTAAAATGCAGGTTCCGGTTCCTTACCTAGGTACCCTATAAAAAATCAATTACCCCCTATTAGTTTAAAAAAATGACAAAAATACCTTAAAAGTTTACAAATACACCCTTAACAAATTAAGAAAACTCACATTTAGTAGTTCTCAACTTTTGATTACTCATTCATTTGTGTCCAATGTGACTCATAAATCTTCTAATCTCTAGGCAACACTTGAATTCAATCAATTTATCACAATTCACATAAAATTTCTCAATCAAAACCAAAACACAAACAGGTTCCAAGCAGGGTACCCGCTTTAGGTTCTTAACCTAGGTTTCGGTTTCGGTTCTAGTTCCGAAATCTATAGGAACCAGAACCGGAATCTCACAGTGTCGGTTCCAATAAAATGGAACCGGAACCTATCCGCACTGTGTCTGTTCGGGGTAGGTTTCGGTTTCGGTTTCGGTTATGGTTCCAGTTCCATAAGTTCCAGTTCTACTCACTACTCGTGCTCTCCCCTAGGGTGAATTAAGCTTTTAAACCTTTTAAGACGAGCAAATTTGCACAATTTGTGATTTATGTCTCTTCAAGTGCAATTATGTCATCATGAATGTGAACTATCATAAGCATGTAAGTATATATATATATATATAGGGAAAAGACAGTCAAACACAACGATGTATAGTGGTTAATGCTAACTCGGCCTACGTTCACTCCTTCAAGCTAGCTATTCCCTTTAGAGTATACCATTATCCACCTTTGTTGATCACTCAATCAAGCAAATCCTATATAGATGTTATCAGACTTTTTACAAACAATTGCTTCACAAGGTGCAATGAAACCTCACACACACACACACACACACACACACACACACACTAGGATAAGCTCTCTCACTAGAAATGCACAAAACCCCAAGAGTGTAACACACTGTTTTACAATATGAGAATAGAAACAAGTTTACTACAAAACTGTCTCATATAGAATGGATAAGAAATCGCATATCCTAGAGAAACCAAATCTACAAAGATACAAATGTAAGGTGGAGCAAGGGTGTAAACCCTGCGTCAACATTCCAAGGCTATAAGGGTGTAAACCCTTAAAAGGATTTTTTATCAATAAAAGGGTAAAATGGTCATTTTGCATGCATTATGAGACGTGAATGTTGTAAAGTGTTAGGAATTGATGATACTGATAAAAAATATGGTTAAAGGGTCATGAAGGAGGTTAGTAGGGTTAAACGGCATAAACGGTTCCTAAGGGGTATAATGGTCTTTCATAATACTTTATAGGAGTCAAGTATCCATAAAAGTGTATTATGGGTAAATTAGTTAATTATCTTATGGAATTACTTGGTCACCAAGTAGAAAAGAGAAGTCAAATGGCATTAAAGGAGTTTTATAATTATGTTGTAGTAGAAATGACCAAAATGCCCATATATTGAAAATTTATACCAAATGACCCATATATCTAACTTTTGATGGCCAATCCTATTTGGGAATTAAAAAAATTTCAGGTGCGTTTGTTTCAATATTTTTGCACTATCCTATCCCTATCCTACCCAAAATAGACATTCGTTTCCTTATTCTGAAAATCGTATTCTATTTTATTCAATTACTTTTAAACCCCCTAGGTTTGTTAATTTAACTAAACACCCCCAAAAAGTTTAGAAATTGACAAAAATACCCCCACCCACCCACCCACATTTGCCAGATTTCGGCCACCACCACCGGAAGGTGGTGGGAATTTGGTTTAATGGCTCACTACCGATTGGATTTGGTCAATATTGCGCCGATCTAGCCTTTTTCGACCAAATCTACCATGGATATGGTCAGAAAATGCCAGATCTACGGCCAAAGATCTGGCCGTTGATGGCTAGATCTTTGACCGTAGCTAGTTGTTAACGACAGCCATATCTTTGGCTGTTGTTGATGACCAAACGTGGCCAGATCTAGTTGTAGATTTGGCTGGAAAAGGCCATATTGGTGCACGACTAGCCAGTTCCAACCGGTCGTACATCGATACAACAACTCTAGCCACCCTCCAGCGGTGGTGGCTGGCTGTCGGTATTTAATGGGTGGGTGGGGATGTTTTTGTTAATTTTTAATGTTTTATTACAGGGGTATTTAGTAAATTAACAAACTTAGGGTGTGTTTTTGTTAAAATCCTATCTCGTAATAACCACCCAACTCTTACTTTTTCAAAAATCCTATATAAAATAATAAAACAAACACACCTGAAATGTTTATAAGATTTTTTTTTTTTTTTTTTTTTTTGGTTAAGTCAGCCAACATTCTTAGAACACCAAACTTTTTTCTTCAAGTCTTATTTTCCTCCATCGAAGGCTTTAATTCAAGCTTTCTCTCTCTCAAAATTTTCATAGGATTTCAAGTTGAATTTTGAAGGAGATCACCATCCACACTTAAAGAACTTCAATTTCAAGGTTTAAGGTGAGTTTTAAAAACTAGTTTGTTGTGATTTTTAGTTAAAAGAGAAATTCATAAGTGGTTATGTGTGTAAGGTAGAAAGGGTGAACCTTTGGAGCTAAGGAGGAGTGCTTTGTGCTTTGAATACTAAGGTAAGGAGAAAAAATCTCTCTTATGACTAAAATTGATAAACCTAGGGTTGATGAAACTTACTTTAATTTATGTTAATTTGAATGTGATGCTATGTTTTGGTTATGGATTGTTTAAATGGGTGTGTTGATTAGTGTATGTGTGCATTTGGAGGATAATTATGCCAATTAAGAGATTTGTAGTTGGATGATGTCTTTGTTAGTAAACGGTCCCATACACGCAGCGGAAACAAAAAAAATAATTCAGGGATCGTTTACATGAGCCAAGATCAAGGGTATAATTTTACAATTCATATTAAATAAAATCTGCAGGAGAAATAAATCTGAGTTTAAAGAAAACAAACGCACGTTGGAGGCTCCTCCAAATTTGTCGACGAATGTTTTGCTACCAATCCAAGTGTAGGATCGAACCTGCGTAGTCCACACGAAGACAATCTCAAAAGGAACCAAAGAGGGATTTGCTAGATCCTCTTTGGCTTCAAGATTAAGAAGAAAGCAAATCAAATTGAATTGATTTCTAAGCAAAAGTGCTTATGCCGTGGGAATGTTTTCAAAGGGGCTGCTGTGTTTTTTTCAAAGAAATATTAATTCACATTTAATTAACACATTTTTCTTTTTATAGTCAATAATCATGTTGCCCTATTCCCCAACCCAAACACCCTATGTTGCCAAACACTCCCAATTTAATATATATTTAAATGTGCGAACACACATTTAAACGTAATTTCACTTATTTAATTTTTCTAACAAATTAAATAAAGGCTACGACCTCAGCAAATTTAATTGCACTGTGAAATTACCAAAATACCATTTTCGCCTTAAAAGACGAAAATGCCCTTCTTTCTTCTTGGATTTTAAATTATCTTCTATGTGTGTGACCCATAGGCTCCTCATCATACCGGCAGTGTATAATATCGCGATTAACACCAATTAATCGTCTCACTGTACACAGACCAAGATTGGCCCCT